ACACTGTAGTTAGTTGTTTACAAGTCATGTGCAGCGCACCGGCTGTAATCAAACCTGCTTCTGGTGTAAAGAGAGAGGCGGGAGGAGGCGTTTCTACGTAGGGAGCTGTAGGGGAGGGGGGGTGGTTTCACGCATGCGCAACATTTGAAAAAGGACAAACAGTCGCTGGATTTCTCGTTCCTTGGAAAATCCTCTATACAACCTTTAATAACTATGAAAATAAAAAGACAAGTTATGGATGAGAAACAGCTCGTGTGTGATTTTTCCCTCTCTAATAATTTCTAAATAAATGTAACAAACCTGTTTTAATACATCATGTTATAGTGTAAAGTATGATATAGTAACTCAATGTCAAGTATTCTAACTATTCAGAAATCAGTACTCCCATTAGCCATGTATTAGTATACATTACTACAACAAAACTATTCTGTAGTCTACACATTTACAAAGTATTCTTATACACTGGGCATCACATGACCAGTGGTGCTAAGATGAGTCTGTGAAAATCTTTGGATATAGAAGGCTGCTTTAAACTCAAGTGCCAAATCAGGCAAATCAGTCAGAAAGCTAATGATGCTTGCTGTGCCTTGGTCAAAAACTGACTTTGTGTCAGAGTACTGTGCTTTGTGTGTTGATTTATAAAGACTGCTTTGAAATGTGGAGATTGACACAGAAATGTCTGCACATGAGTTTAATGTAATTGGGTGTTGTCTTAACAAATAAATAAATGCAACTTAAAATGACAAAATTTGTTATTGTGGTGGCAGCTACCAGGTAAAGCACCTGGATCATGAGATACTTGAACTTCTCCACTTGAGGCAGGGACTCTCCACCCACCCAGAGAGGGCAAAACACCTTTTTTCCGATCGAGAACAATGGCTTCAGATTTGGAGGAGCTGATCTTCATCTCAGCTGCTTCACACTTGGCTGCAAACTGCCCCAGTGCCCATTGCAAGTCCTGGCCCGATGAAGCCAACAGGACAAAATCATCTGCAAACAGCAGAGATAAGATCCTATGGTCCCCAATCCAGACCCCTTCCGGCCCCTGACTGCCTAGAAAGAACTGGTGATCTTTACGTATACGTCATTTTGAATAGTCACCTCAAAGTCACAGTTTTTTGTTTGTGCCTAGAAATTCTGTCCATAAATACAATGAACAGAACTGGTGACAAAGGGCAGCCCTAGCGGAGTCCAACATGCACTGGGAACATGTCTGACTTATTGCCAGAAATGCGAACACAGCTCCTGCTCCGGTCATACAGGGACCGAACGGCCCTTAGCAAAGGGCCCCGGACCCATATTCCCAGAGCACCCCCCACATGACACCACGAGGGACATGGGTCGAATGCTTTCTCCAGATCCACAAAGCACATGTGGGCTGGTTGGGCAAACTCCCATGAACCCTTGAGCACCCTATGGAGAGTGTAGAGCTGATCCAGTGTTCCACGGCCAGGACGAAAAGCACACTGCTCTTCCTGGATCCGAGGTTTGACTATCGGCCAAATTCTCCTCTCCAGTACCGTGGCATAGACCGTACCGAGAAGGCTGACGAGTGTGATTCTCCTGTAGTTGGAACACCGGTCCCCCTTCTTATACAGAGTGACCACCTCCCCGGTTTGCCAGTCTGTCACTGTCGCCACACAACGTTGAAGAGGCGTGTCAGCCAAGACAGCCCCACAACATCCAGAGACTTAAGATACTCAGGACGGATCTCATCCACTCCCGGAGCCTTGCCACCAAGGAACTTGCCAACCACTTCAGTGACTTCACCCAGGATGATGGACGAGTCCGCCTCCGAGCTCCGGCTTCCTCCTCGCAAAACGTGACGGTGGGATTGAGGAGATCCTCAAAGTATTTTTTCCACCGCCGGACAACATCCCCAGTCGCGGTCAACAGCTCTCCCCCGCACTGTAAAACAGTGTTGGTGAAGAACTGCTTCCTCCTCCTGAGGCGCCGGACTGTTTGCCAGAATTTCCTTGATGCCGTCCGATAGTAATAATCCATGGCCTCCCCGAACTCCTCCTAACTCCGGGTTTTTGCCTCTGCAACCGCACGGGCTGCAGCACGCTTGGCCCGCCGGTACCCATTGACTGCCTCAGGAGTCCCACGAGCCAACAAGGCCCGATAGGACTCCTTTTTCAGCCTGACGGCATCCCTTACTTCTGGTGTCCACTACCGGGTTCGGGGACTGCCACCGCGACAGACATCACAGACCTTACACCCACAGCTACGAGCGGCCACATCGATAATAGAGGCCGAGAATGAAGCCCACTCTGACTCCCTGTCTCCAGCCTCCCCCGGAATCCGGGAGAAGTCCTCCTGGAGGTGTGCATTGAAAGCCCCTCTGACAGAGGGCTCCACCAGATGTTCCCAATAGACCCTCACCCTTGGGTCTGCCAGGTCTTTCCGGCTTCCTCCTCCGCCAGCGAACCCAACTCTCAACCAGGTGGTGATCAATTGACGGCTCAGCCCCTCTCTTCACCTAAGTGTCCAAAACACGCGACCGGAGGTCGATGATCGACTTTGTAGTCATGTCATCGACTTCCGGCCTAGGGCGTCCTGGTGCCACGTGCACTGATGGACACCCTTGTGCTCGAACATGGTGTTCGTTGTGGACAAACTGTGACTAGCACAG